ATTTAAATTATATATATTTTTATTTTTATTTAAAACTCACTAAAAAAAATAAATTATTTCATATATAATGAAATATGAAATATCACGTAATAAATGTTATAATTTTATAATAACTTTGATATATATATTTTTTTGTAATTGAATCAATCTTTATATAATTTAATTTTTGTTTTAATAATACAAGCAATCATTTTATAATTGATCCTCTTTCGAAGCTACGTTTTCTGATAATGTCTCTCTCTGAATTTAGAGGCCAAAGACTTTTGGAGCTACCAGTCCTTTCACGCGGACGGGAAGCAAAGAGAAAAATCAGAATGAATGGTTCTAACTGAGATGTCTCATTCTGAATTTAAAGGCCAAAGACTTTTGGAATTCCCGGTCCTTTCACGCGGGCGGGAAGCAAGACAAAAGGTAAAAGCTCTTTTTAAATTCTTAAATTTATTTTAAAATAATATTTAAAATTTTAAATTAAAAATAAAATAAATAAAACTTCTACTTTCACTAATAATATAACTAAGCTCAGAAACAGGATAAACAGTATATCTCATGGTGGACTAACTCTGTTATTTTTTCGCAAAACCATAAGTTAAACTCCTGAACTAACCTCAGAATCGCTAATAAGCCCTTAAACTTTAATTGATGCATATAAGCCCTTGAACTCTGCGATCAAGGCAATTAAGCCCTTCTTCTTACGCCAACTTAACCGCCGTTTGAGACCCGCTGGCCGGGCTTAACTGCCGTTTGGGACTTGCTCGCCTGGCTGCTTGGATGGCAAAATATTGCCATGTCATGCTTTTATGGCAAGAGATTTGACATTTGAGCTAGATTTTTAACTTATTTGATCATTTAATTTTTTTACTTAAATAAAATCTAAATAAAATAAAGTCATACATTTGGTGGAAATATTATTTAAATTTAATAAAGATTAAATATTTTTTTGGTTTCTCTACTATAAAAAAAAATTTCCTTTTAGTCTTTATATAAAAAAAATCCCTTTTTTTTATCTTTACTGTTCACAAATCCGGCTCCTTTTTAGTCATTTCGTTAAATTTTGACTGATGTGGCAAGTTAATTAACGAAAAAATTCTTTTTTTTTACCATTTTACTAAATTACGTAAAAAATTCATTTGGTAAAAATTGATAACGTGGTTAAATTTTTTACATTTAATTACTGATTTACC